AAAATCAGTCATTTCTAAAAGTTCACCCAAAAATTCTGTTATTGTGTTTTATTTTTAATTAATTACACAATGTTGTATCTAATCATATTGGACCGAATCAGTGCATCACAGAACTGACAAGGGACTTAAAGGAGTAGTTAACTTTAAAAAAAAAAATCTTTTGCTGATAATTTATTCACCCCCATGTCATCCAAGATGTCCATGTCATTCTTTCTTCAGTCGAAAAGAAATTAAGGTTTTTGATGAAAACATTCCAGGATTTTTCTCCATATAATGGACTTCAATGGGAACCAAACAGTTCAAGGTCCAAAAGACACTTTCAGTACAAACTGCAAACTGTTCAAAGGGCTTTAAACGATTCCAGACGATGAATAAGGGTCTTATCAAGCGAAACGATCGCTTATTTAAAAAAAAAAACAACAACAAAGTTTGTTTTGTAAGCTTAAATGTTCGCCTTGCTCTGTTCTGTGATGCCCATTCGTGACTCTCCTATTCGAACTCGTTCATCAAAAAATAAACGAATCCCTTCCCGAGTCAACTCGTTCCTTTTGTTCGTTGAACGAACCAAATGACACAAAAAAGATTCGTTCATTTTGATAAATGAGTTTGAAAAGGAGAGTCACGAACGTACATCACAGAACAGAGCAAGGCGACCATTTGAGCTTATAAAACTTAAACTTTATTTTTTTTTTTTTAAATGAGCGATCGTTTCGCTTAAAAAGAGCCTTATTCATCGTCTGGAATGGTTTAAAGCCCTTTGAGTTTGAGCAGTTTGCACTGAAAGTGTCTTGAACCGTTTGGTTCCAATTGAAGTGCATTATATGGAGAAAAATCCTGGAATGTATTTCATCAAAAACCTTAATTTCTTTTTGACTGAAGAAAGAATGACATGGACATCTTGGATGACATGGGGGTGAGTAAATTATCAGCAAAAGTTTTTTTTAAATGTGAACTAATCCCTTAAGCATTAGTTAGTCTCAGCATTAAATTAATCACATTAAATTAGTAGTAGTTTGTGTGTGTGTGTGTGTGTGTAATTAATTTTTTTAAATGTATCCTGATCTGTGTGATTTGGTGAGATGATGTCCATGCGTTATTTATCATTACTCCCCTGTGATCTCCTCTCTCCAGAGATTGATCTGGGATGAGACCTCCCGCCTCAGGCTCTCTGACTAAATCAAACTTCAGCGGCTCAGCGAATCAGACGTTCCTTTCAGGAAATTCTCTCAGCTTGGACGAAACTCAGCTTGTGCACATTTCCTTGTGGTTTGGATGGATTTGGTTTGTGTCTTTCTTTAAATAGATTCTTAGGAGGAGAAGCCAAAAATGTGCATTTTCAGTGAAAGCTAAAGCTAAACGTGTGCTGTATTGGGGTGTGATTTAAATAAGCTGCAGTACTTGAGAACAAAGTTGAAAAAAATGAAGTAAGACCAAGCCAAGCTGGAGTAATAAAATCCCTCACTACAGTTAATCTAAGTACATAGATGCTGGAATGCTGCCTATGGCTCACTTAGATTTGTTTTGTCATAAACGTTTCCAGCATTTTCTTTTTTTAATTTTTTTTCTCCTTCGGATATAAATTTAGACTTTGGTGAGATTCTTTCTGAATGACCACATGCCCACTTTTAAAAGGAGATAGTTAAAAGTTTCAAAGCAACTTTGGTTGTGTAAACTAGAAAAGAGTAAAACTATAATGACAATCCATAAAGAGTCTGAAATTCCTATGGTAGTGATATTTGGAAATTTGGAAATTCCGGACCATACGTTCACGTTGTCAAATCTGTTTTCCTATTTTTCTAAGCAATACACATAACTACAGATTATTGCACGAGAACTGGCTGTCCTGTCCTTTTAGTTTTTAGATAGTGAGTCTCTTTGTAAAAAAAAACATCTGCTATATTGCAAGCGTTTTAATAAGGTGCAAGACATTTGGATATTGAAATAGTTGTGTTTTTTTTTAAAAAGGAACTCCTAATGTATTGTGGAGTCTGCAGTGGCACACCACTCCTGCTTGTTTATACTGCATTTTACCATGTTAAAAAAAACAAACAAAAAAAACATTGGACTTGACTCAATATGGACTAACTGGCAGTAAGTCTCCGGCTGAACTCCTAAAAAGCATCACATAACCTCTAAATCTACTGTTATTGATGCACTAAAGTTGTTTTTCTCTGGTTTTATTCAGTATGCTCCTGGCTGAAGTAATGTAAAATGTATCAGCATCATATACACTCTGACCTTTAAGCATGAGCTTTTTAGATGAAGGTTTTGGAAAAAATACAGGATGGATGGTTTAGCTGTTAGCCCTTTTCTCCCCAACAGCCTTGCAGTGAACTGTAAGGAGCGAAGGTTGACCAGCTGGCCAGGGTTCTTATCAGGGTTTGTGGTTTAAAAGCCTTTGAGGAATGTTGGCGGAGCGCCACTCGTATTCCGCACGCTACAGACTGTGGGTTTACAAGGACTGTGCTTGGAGAAACATTTTTGTGTTGAAATACTGATCTAATATCAGGTTTCCTATTCCTCAGCACTAGTCAAACTGTACTGATATTGTTTTTGCATTGATCCAGGCATGGTGTACTTTGAGGTTTTGGCTCTGAAGGTGTAAAGTCCATTGCGCTTGGATTTATGTATATAAAAAAAAAACTGTATGCACATAAAACTGTATGTACATGAAAAAAACTGCTTGTGAGGGCTAAATGTAAACAGGATGTCATTGAATAGTTCGCTCAAAAATGAAGGTTCTATCTTTGTTAATCACCCTCATATGGTTTGAAAACAGCCCATTCTCATCCCAAGAGGTCATATAACTGATGCCTTTGACCATACGTCAACATCCGGCGTTTTAGGGCACCCTTTAACGTCAGTTAGATGACGCTATCTAATCCTAACCCTAACGAGTCATCTAACTGACGCTAAAGGTAAGCGACCCCCTAGAATCGTCATCTAACTGGCTTTAAAGGGTACCCCAAAATGTTGGATGTTGACGTATGGTCAAAAGCGTCACTTAGATGACGTCTTGGGATGAGAATGTGCTGTCGAAAACCATATACTGAAGATATGTATGGAGGCTGTTTTTAATGTAACAACAGTTTATAGTGAACACCCAAGCGCCAAAACGGACAATAAATGTATCTTAAAGATAGTCTATATAAACTGTGAATTATATTCCAGATTTTTTGAAGTCATACAAAGATGGACCAAAATGTACTTTACTAATAATCTTGAATGAGTCAGTGAGTTGAACCAGAGAGTGGAATCAGCTGTACTTGTATTCGTGAATAAATTGTTTTGTTCGTTTTGTGGAAAGGATCAACAGGCTCAGTGGAAAGAGCTGCCGCAAAAGAACAAGTCATGAACAAATTATATTGATCCGTTTCTTGAAAGATTGGGTTGCAGACAGTGTATTAAGTTAATTAACTCACTGGAGATGAAGATAATTTGTGAACAATGTCCTTTGTTGAGGAACAGTGTTGGTCCGTTCCTGACAATATGACTTGGAAAATAGCACACACGCATTGTATTGACTAATTTTAAAACTTTTTTTAAGCTTACAGTTGGCAAAAATGTGTAAAGTCATGTTATAGATCTTATTGTGAACAATTTGATCTTAATATGTAATCAATGTCATAACTGGAACTTCCGGTAAAGATACCAGACTTCTCATATGTGACGCTGATGTGTCACAATACGGAAGAAAAGATGTCACTTTAAAAGACATGGTCACTGTGAGAAGATACACCAAAAATATCTCTCTTTTTATGTTCCACTGAAAAAGTGGAAAACAACATATGGCTTTGGAACAACATGAGAGGGAGAAAATAATGGCAGAATTTGTCCACCCAAATCCAGTGTTTTACCTTGAGTACATGCCGTGAAGATTTGTGTCCAGCACTGACCAGGTGATTGTCTTCACTCTTCAGACTGTAAATTTAAACTGAAAAACAAATGATAAAAATGCTTAATGTTTGTATAATAGCCACGTTCACCCTCTCGTGCTGTTCATTATTGCTTCAGCCGTTCGAAAGTCGTTTATGCAGGTAGTGCTGCAGAATTTGCTGAATTAAGAGGCCGCTCTACACGAGCATAACTAATTCACATTGCCCTGGAGGGGATTTGCAAGTTGAGAATCATTTTGCAATATTAAACATGGCTGTTATTAGATCAATTTTTCTTTTTTGCAATTTATATTACTCTCTGGTGATACAAGATGTTACACAGTACTGCATTTCCTCTGTGTCTGCCGCCTGTCTTTATGTAAAGCAAAATGGGGTGAGAGACCGATAATAAGGTGCATAGAGCGAAAGAGAGAGTGACATAGACAGAGCTAAAGAGAGGCAGACAGACTGACCAAGAGAATAAGGAGATGCAGCTGAGACAGGAGATTTGTTGAGACACCGGTGCTGTCAGTAAGGAGCTGGCTTGAGCTAGTGTCTCATTCTCACACAGCAGATTGGAAGAGCAGATTGCGCTCTGAGATGCCCTGAGATTTGGGCAGCTTCTGATGGGGGATTTGTAGAGATTTGGTTAGAAATCTGCCCATAATGAATGTTAAGTGAAAAGCGCCTTCATCATCTTCTCAGCAAAGACATTGTTTTCTCTAAGCGCTCGTTCTGTTAGTTTTGGCACTGTGTCTTAGTGTCACAGTCCTGGGATGACTGTCTATAGCTTCATTAACTGGTGCTGATCACACAAAACAGACATTTTATGAATGAAAAGGCCTAATTTGTGTGTCTGTGGAGACAATAGATAAGAACGCGTACTTTGGATGTAGAAAAAACTATGGTGTGATGGTATCTACAAAAATATTACGTAGCAAAACTGCACAACATTAATAATAATATAAAAATTCAGCATTTTTGATTTCTGAAGGATTATGTGAAATTTATTTAACTCTTACAGACCCCAAACTTTTAAGCCCTAGTATTTATTTTTTATCGTAATTATGGTCATCTCAAAACTTGTGTTCATCACTGATCAATCATTGTTGTCTGTTTTCTTAGGTCGGTTGAAGAATGTCACAGTTTTCTTAAGCGATCCAGACCTTTATCCTTAAATGACTGCAGTCCTGCTATCTGATTGGATCATCTTTTGAGGTAAGAAGATTACTGAATTATTGTAAAGTCACTGAAACTATTTATTTTGTTTTCTCCTCACGTCCTGCTCTTTTGTTGAAATTAGCTTGAAGTAGAGTTGAGCCCCTCCGACGGACAATGACTTGATTTGACAGAAAATTGAAATATCATCCAACTTCATTATTTTGGCTGTACTGTTCACCCGAGGACATCAGCGTCTGTTGAATTTTAGAAGAATACACATATAATTTCAAAGAAACGTCTGACAATCTGTCAGCCAATCTGTTTGAATCAAGTCTCACGGCGAGCAGGCGACGAACGATAGTAAAGTATCACAGTTGGAAAAGGTAACGGGGAGGTGGGCAAATTTTCAAATGGCATTGAAGAAGAGAAACACGCGGATGACAAAATCGGAGAGAGATCACTTAAGAGAAGACAAAACGGATGAGACGGGAGACTTGACATGAAGAGTGGGAAAAAATCTGCTGCAAACACACTTGCATCACAGAGCACCTGTGCAAGGCTCTTTTACTCATGCCCCCTGTCTACCCAGATATCCCTTAGAGATCAAAACGCATCCCACAAGGCTGGAGAGCAGAGCTGGTGGTGACAGGCTCTGTCGGCCGGCTGCGGGGAGCAGATGGCTGGCCAGATGCAAGGTTGCATTTGACCTTGGGCCCTGTGGAAGGCTAAACATCATAGGCGTCCTCCGGCGCTTCCACCTTTCTGCCGCTCCATGGAGCCGCTGCTCTGCTCTGACAGCTTATGGTTGTTTTATTTAGATGAGCCATATGGAGCTATTATGTGCACCATCGTCTAACTGCTATCACTATTCCCAATGTAGTTTGTCACCCGATGTGTATTTGAACAAAGATGAGTTCAAGTCCTCCAGGCTGTCCATGACCATGACAGTAGAGATACTGCATGAGATATGACTAATCACATTCAGCAGAATTATAATTGTGGTCAACTGATGCAGACACTAAGAAAGGGATCTTTAGTAAAGCCGGACACACACTTTTACGAATTATGAAAGTAATTTGATACTTAAGACTGATCATGCCCAAACATGCCATGTTTAAAAGTCAGTCAGTGTTTAAAATCTACTGAAGTCATTGGAAACAGTCTGTAAGGGTGTTCAGTTCAGTCTTAGAAAGTTTCAGCTAGTCATTAAGTGTGTTCTCGGCTTAAGTCGGTGACGCAAAGGATTATAAGCACGCATCCCAGCTTACGGATAATTTTTCCCCTTTCTCTCTAAAAGTGTGTGACAATTTCAGTTAGTGCTGCACGGTTAATCCCAAATGATCATGATTACTATTATGGGTGCTTAGATTAACTGTGTAAAGTATTGTTTTTCTTTTAAATTTAATTCTCACCTTGTTTTGATTGTATCTTATATGAAGAAAATGACTTGCAGTTGTTATAGCGATACCCTATAAAAAGGGATTTCTATATTAATATATCCAATATCAGCATTTATATCTATATCTACGGTTCGCTATTGTATTTTGGCAAAAACTATGGTAAATTATTTTGAGGCTGCACAAAAATTATTATTAACTACAAATCAAGTCAAATCAGAATTAATAATCATAATTACAGTGTCAAGATAAATAATCGTCAGTAATTATGCAATTTTAATCTTGTTTTAGCCATCATATAGCTAATCTGATTTATTTAATTATACCACTTTATTTTCTCACTAAGGTCATTGCAGTGTATCCTTCAGGAGAGCGTCTGTTTCCTAATAGCTTAATGGCTTTTGGTACACCGTTACCAAGTCTAGCGGTTTACTGATTTTTCCATTTAAACACTTGTGCTGTGGTGGTCACAGATATGTGCCCTGCTAATGGAGGAACCAGTCTGACAGTTTTCTTCAGAAAGTCATATCACCATTCATTTATTCGCTAACATGAAAAGTGATGCTGATAAATGTTTTTTTGGATCTCCTTACAGAGGCCATATTCTTCTCCTCCACTTTTTAAGCTTCATTCATATTCATCAAAGTACAGTTTACTCTCCAATGTCAGATGATAGCTGATCAAACACTTGAGCGACACAAAAGAAAAGACGTGAGCTTATTTTCCTCATTTTTTTTAAACAGGTTTGAGAATGTTTGATGGCTTTCCAGCAGCCTCAAAAACAACAATTCATCTCAACCTTAACCCTACCTGACAATTGAAATAACATCAAATGCCGAATATGGTTCTACGTCATTGTTGTCAACAAATACTCTTTCCCTCATAAGAGGTTTATTTAACCACAGGTCAGCAGAATGGGCAGATGCCAGCTCAGGGTTTGGTCCTCCATAGCCTTTTACTGATTTATAAATTCTCTCTCATGGTTTATCACTCTCATTAATGTCAGCACCTGCTGTAGTGGGGTTCTATCTGTCTGACCGCAGGCCCTGCAGCTGTGCACTGAGCTCAGGCAAACTGCCCATCAGTCCTGCCCCCTCCACCCATCCACTCCACCAATAAGCAGTTGGCTTAGGTAGTTGTAAAAACCTTGCTAGAATCAGGTGCACTTGCTCTGTTGATTGTAAATGTGCTTGTCATGGTCTTTGTATGCTCATACAAGTATTTTCGGTGTGAAAAATGTATTAGCCCGATTTCGCTTTATTTCTCTACCTGAATATTATCACGTACTGTAATCACAATAAAATGTAGGCTTAGGAAACCTGGGAAACACAATTCAAAAATATAATTCATAAATCAGTCAATATAAAAAAGTCAAAAATTACAAATATTGTCTCTGTGAAAAAGTAATTGACCCCATAGTCTTCAAAATGTAAATGTTTATGTTTGAGTGAGTCAGAGACTCTTGGGGCGTTTTCACATCTGAAAGTCCACACCAAGGTCCAAACCAAAGTTCACGTTTTGATGCATTTTATACGTTCAGAAAATTTTGGTTTGGTTTCACACTGTAATTATGCGAGCGCACTAAAGAACTTTACGTGACATACTTGCGTTCTGCCGTCATCATCTATGTGGGCTGCATCTTGACATTGATTGGTTTGTAAATGGATGTGCATCTGATGTTGGCGTGTTGTCATCGGGTAACTTTGACAACCTGAATGAACATTCTCTTGGCATTGCGCGCCTTTGCATATTGCTGTTGCAGTTTCTTTATCGTCAAGTGGCATTGCTCTCCCGTCCTCTCATACCCTCTTTCTCATCCTCGCCGAAAATATTTGGATTTCCAGTTGACTTCTTATGTCATCAGACCATACTTCAAGTAAAAACCTCCTCCTCTCTGGGAACCACCGGAACTTCCTGTAAAAGGTCTGAAAGTCTGAACTTTACAGAAATGCTTTCACACTACAAACGAACTAGAAAGACTCCCTCTTTTCGTCGGACCAAATTTCATCTGTTTGGAACCAAACTGAAAAGCCTGAAATTCCGGACCAAACAAGGTAAGTGTGAAAAAGGGTCCTAAGTGGTAAATATTCCCAAAAGCGGTCAACATTTCCAAAAGGGCACAGTGGCACCTCATCTGGAAAGCTATAAATGATCACAGATAAACTTTCAAAGAACTACAGGCTTCTCTCGCATCAGTGAAGGTCACGGTCCGTCACTCCACAAGAAGAAAGGGAATGTGCAAAAACCTATGTTCACTAGAAGAAAATCAAAGCTTATATAAAGCATGTGATGATCCCAAACCTTAGTTTATTCAATTGACCTATGGCGATAAGCCAATCACAGTGCGCATAGCTAACCCAATAGACTCAGACATTCTCTGCTTCCACGTCCATTGGAATGCATTGCATTTAGTCAGTTTTCAATTGTTTTTATATGTTTTTTCTTGTCATTTTAAGTTTAAACAACTCCACGAAACTCAGACACTAGGTATCCTGAGAGGCTGGGCGACGGTGTGTATTTTTTTTAGTCTTTCCCAAGCCACATCTCAACCGAGATAAGTGTCTGCTCTGGATTATGTAATGTGATTAAGCTATGCAGTAGACCACAACACCAACATAACACAAACAAAGATGTCTACATCTGTTGTAAGTCAACAACGTTTTTGAACGTTTTCTTTAACATCTCTAATGTAACGTTAGGCTAACCTTAGCCTAACATTAGAAAACGTTAACGTTAGCTTCTAGCTGCGTTGTACATCATGTCACTTAGCTTCATTAACGTATCTGTAAATAACCGAGATAACAAACGTTAACAGTGTTGTGCTGAATGATTCATGTAAATACTGTTGCACCAAACGGTGATGGCAACAATATGCGGGTTATCATGTTTACACTGTGACCTGTAAATTCCTGCCTGGATCTGAAGCTTTTCATCGACCTTCTCAGCAATAAAATTATTATTTTAACCCTCCAATTAAGGCCCTTTAGGTAACTTCGAGATGATATATAATCTTTCTGTCTCTCAAAATCATCAATTGCCTCCTGTGAAATGTCTCCTACTGTGACCGCTGCCATAGAGCCTGTCACCGAATGTTGACTGTTTGTCCGAGTGAGTGGAGGGGCGTGGCTTAGCCATAGGTCAATTGAAAGATGAGTCACAATGTAACTTTTTGTAAGGTAGTTGTCTACCTCAGTTGTCAAGCAAATACAGCAGTGTATATTGTAATATACCCATGTGACTTATCATTGAAAAGTAGCTTGTATTGTCCCATATACTAGATAATTCTTTAAGAGATTGTCCGAGCATCTGACCGGGAGCTTAAATGTAATTTTATGTTGCAATGATCCAAAACACAGTCATGTTGACATCTGAAGGACTGCAAAGAAACAAAGACTCAGATCAAATTAAAGGTGATTGCCGTCGGTGCTGTTTAATGTTATCTAGCCAGATATTAGATTTGAGGGTGGCATTTACTTTTTCTCAGGGATGATGGGAGTCTGTGTTAGCCAATTTTACCAATTAAATTTTCTCTTGGCTTCCCTTTGTGCAATATTGTTGTGTTCTCCAAATTGGCAATTGCTCAGTGGGCAAATACTTTATCACAGCGAAGTATGTCAGTAATAAAACGGCAGTAAAATAAATACTGCATACAAAATCTTG